ATGGTTGCAATTCAGTAAATTCCTCTTCCTTCATTCAAGCTCCAATTTAGCTTCCTGTGGAATGTGGCCATTCAAAATTCAATTTTTCATATTTACACTAACTACTGTACTGTACTTTTTTTATACTGTACCTGAAAAATATGTGTCATCCCCTTAAGCATATCCCATGGTTTAATTTTTTTCTGTAGCCCATCTCCGGTGTGTTATTCCTATCCAGGACTGTAAGTATTGTATACTGTATTCCATCCCATCTGAATTGAGAAGTGAATGTGAACTGTCACACATAGATATAGAGAGCGCTCAGGGGATGGTGAAGAATAGTTAACATATCCAGGAGAGGAGTATCCAGGCAGTGCAGTGTGTTCCGGCTTTAATTATGATGAATGAGGAAGTCTCTTCTTGTGGGTGTGAAGGGGGCCACTGGGGAACGGGGTGGAAGGAAACCTCCACTCAAGGGCTTCTTTTAGATCTTTCCGTTCCTCTCTTGGGTATTTCTGCTGTATCAGGAAATTTCCATTCTCAGAAATGTTCTCTACCTTCCTCATCCATCAAACCTGCACTTGGCCCCAGTCTCATGTAAACCTGGAGCTGGTGCAGTCACATGGGGGGGCCAGCCTGCTGTTGAAACATGAAATGTGACATCCATAAAATTACAAGTGCTGGATATTGATTTCACACACGCACAGGGACGTACTTGGCAATTTGTCATCTGTGGTGAAGTTGCTATCATTGTGCTCAGGGCATTCTAATATGCTTGAATAAATCACTAGAGTGATATTTTCTGCAATATTGAGAATCCTCACTTTAGTATTTGCAATTTTATAACATACTAAGGCATTATATATCACGTTTATCTTCTCAAGATTTAAAGTTCACGAAATTCAGGATCCTCTTGATTATCTGCATTTTGTTTTCAAAATAAGACTTGATTAGCATTAGACATTTCTTTGCGTGGATATGTACAATCTGTTTATTTTATTTTATTATTTTTATAATTAAATAACAGTTTTTTTAACATTGATTGTTCCTAAACTATAATCCATTTATTTTATTTTATTTTATTTTATTTTATTTTATTTTAATAACACTCTTATTAGGCATGGTTCTTTAACTGTTTTATTTTATTTTATAATTTAATAACAGTTTTTTAACATGCGTTTATTTTATTTTATTATTTATTTTTATTTTTATAGTTTAATAACACTCTTATTAGGCATGGTTTTTAAACTGACCCATTTTTTAAAATATTTTTTTATATTTAAAAATATGGGAATAGCGTAAACATATACCTTTTGTTCATATAAAAATACTGTAAGAAAACTGTCCTACAGTGCATTATTTGCAACTGGAGAACTTGGACAGAAGACTTACCATGTAGCCGGCTATCTGTCGATCTTTGAATAACCTTTATCTGACTGATATCAGAAATGCTAAGATTTTTAATTTAGCTTTACAAAGCCATATGGACCAGCAAAGCAGTATGAAGGTCTGAGTCAATGTCAAACAGTAGAACGTGGATGGATGGATAGATGGATGGGGGCATTACATTTGGGCAAACAAAGGGCTACTATCAGACAGAGGAGAGAGAGGAGAAGTAAATGAGAGAGGAGAATGGAAGGAGAGATGATGGAAGGATGGGCAGAGAGGTGCAATCTGTGCTGTTGGCACTGCTGGTATTTAATGCTCCTTCTTCTCATTCCTGCACAGATGGCAGATGGCAAATCAGCCGTCGGTTCCCAGATGATCTGACTGGCTGTGAGCAGGGCTGAGTCGTTTCAATGCCACCATGAGGATAGAATTGCCTCATGGAAAACAAACATTCATTGAAGATTCAGAAGTATTTTTATAAAGTCCATATAGTACACTTTTATTGCATTCTTTAGTTTTATGGAGATTTTTTTGAGAATTAAACAGACTCTTTTGCTACTGTACCTTTAAAGGAGTAGTTCACCCAAAAATGAACATTTGCTGAAATTTATTCACTCTTAGGCCATCCAAGATGTAGATGAGTTTGTTTCTTCATCAGAACAGATTTGGATAAATTTAGCATTACATCACTTGCTCACGAATGGATCCTCTGCAGTGAATGGGTGCCGTCAGAATGAGAGTCCAAACAGCTAATAAAAACATTACAATAATCCACAAGCAATCCACACAACTCCAGTCCATCAAATAACGTCATGTGAAGTGAAAAGGTGTGTGTTTGTAAAAAAACAAATCCATCAAGATGTTTGTTTTTTTTTACTAACCTTTGCTTCCGGCTACCTTTGTACTCTCATTCTACTCTCATGATCTGACGGCACCCATTCACTGCAGAAGTGATGTAATGCTAAATTTTCCCAAATCTGTTCTGGTGAAGAAACAAACTCACCTACATCTTGGACGGCTTGAGGGTGAATACATTTTCAGCACATTTTCATTATTGGGTGAACTGTTTCTTTAAGACTTGTATATGATCTGTCATGATTGACTGTTTCTGAATATTTAATAGGCTTATATATGTTAATTTGCTCATGATTCTGGCTTCGAAACACCCATTTTTGCAACTTAGTTTCCATAATTGTTCTGGCTTGGCTTAGGGAGGGAGATTTGCATGATCAGAATTAGATAATGACTATTATCATCGTTTGACAAGTGTGTACCGAATGAGCAGGATTTAGCTTTGTGTGTACTAGCTTAATCCATTCATTAATACGGGATAAAAGCTTTTTAATATTTCTCATATTGCCCTCTGTAAGCCTTATAGATTGACCCGTTCTTCAGTATGTCGTAGGATAATATTGTTTATGATGACCACTGTTATATAAATCTATATTACTGATTTTTTTGTTGGCAAAGGATCAATATTGTGTTCATTATTAGCTGCAAATTATCAGGTTTATTAATGGTTTGTGGTTATTCCCGTGACATTTCGTTCCATACGTTTTACTCCAACAGCTACTGCAGTTGTCAAATGCAAACACACCTACTGTAAATCCTGTGCTCGGTCACATGGATGTCTGCCCAGACCAATGCAGTGTTAAAGAACTGTAACGAGTGCAGACACTGCTAAATATACCAGTCAGTCATGTGCTATCATGGAGTATTTTAAGACGGCTGTGCGTTTTGCCACCATACCTGCAGCCAGACTGAAATAACACATGTGAGGCTGTGAAGACACCATGAGCCTTTGGCTGTGAACAGCTCAGTTTAGACTCTCGTTCTCTGAGGTGTGAAAGTCACTGTTGGTACTGGTTGGCCTGTTTGCAGAATTTAATTTATTGCAGTAAATTTAATTTAATTTAATTTAATTTAATTTAATTTAATTTAATTTAATTTAATTTAATTTAATTTAATTTAATTTAATTTAATTTAATTTAATTTAATTTAATTTAATTTAATTTAATTTAATTTAATTTAATTTAATTTAATTTAATTTAATTTAATTTAATTTAATTTAATTTAATTTAATTTAATTTAATTTAATTTAATTTAATTTAATTTAATTTTACACATAAAGCAGATTATAACAGAAATCATATTTGGGTGTTTCTTTAACTTCTGCCACTTTCTCCAGGGATTCATTTTTCTTACAGTTTTAAAACTTAGTTTTTATTTTATTTTTGTAAAATTATTTTTTAAAAATTATCATTTTATTTTATTTATAATTTTTATAAAGATCACATTAATTCTTGAAAATTTGTTACAATACCTTCATTTTTTACATTCATCAATTTAATTTTATTTTATTTTATTTTACCACATAAAGCAGATTATAACAGAAATCATATGTGGGTGTTTCTTTAACTTCTGCCACTTTCTCCAGGGATTCATTTTTCTTACAGTTTTAAAACTTAGTTTTTATTTTATTTTTGTAAAATTATTTTTTAGAAATTATCATTTTATTTTATTTATAATTTTTATAAAGATCACATTAATTCTTGAAAATTTGTTACAATACCTTCATTTTTTACATTCATCATTATATTAAAAGTGATATAATAATAATAATAAACAATAAATTGCATACAATCTAATAATATTAATGTAATTTATAATAAATATAGCTCTAGTATGTATATGATAGTATTTTTAAGTACAATAGTGTCTTGAAGAGCATGGTCTTGTGACGAAAAATCAAGGTATTAATTGTGAAAATATGATGTAATTTTATGTATTTATGCATTTAGCAGTGAAATTAGCCTTAGAAAAAAAGATTAATGATGCTAAAAATTTCATTTCCATCACACAATGTCATTAAACAATATATTTGGTGGAAATGACGCTTTTGTGAAAATGTGTTAATAAAAAAATATGTAAAATACATAAAAATGATCTTGTGATGCACGTATGTCCAATGCTGGACATTTTAGTGACAAATGCACAGATCTGGATTCTCTCACTGTCCATCCAGGCTTATCTGGGTGAGACTTTCCTACATTTGTGAAGCATTCTGTGTAAACACACAGAGGGCTGCTGGTTCACTGTACAGCAGAGCTCATCCTCCTCAGGGACTCGTGTGTCCTTATTTGGGGCGAAACGACAGACCCCGGCCCACAGCAACAGCAGTGCCCTCACCATCTATTTACAGCTGGGCCAGGGGAGGGTGTCCGGATTATTTCCAAATCTCCCTGAGTGGGTCTGGCTGAATGCTTGTTTAAGAAAGCCAGCCGTGCCGTGGGCCCTTCACAGCGCAATTATCAGGACTGTTTCTCATGACTCACGTCTAAGCTGAGTTGTTTATCTGAAGGCCTGGCAGAATCTGTGCTAAACTTATTCACCGCCACTGCGTGACCCAGGACACTTTCCAGAGACGCTGCTGTAGTTCAGACACAAATAGAATGAGTTTTCACCCCTTTTCCCATGCATATCTGGGAAATAAGAGCCATGGGGGACATAAAATACTGAGAACATTACCTGAGCTATATTGCATTTGTTTATCTGTAAACAAGAGCCATTTGCTCTCATTTAGTTGGCCGTTTTGCAGATTGTTTTTAATACCCATGTTTACTTGCATACAGATTTCTCAGATGGTGTCAGAAGGCAACCGGGAGGGTCTAAACGAAGCTGCGCTCAACCGCTATAACACCGACCGGCCCAGTGCATACAGCAGCCCTGCTGCTCCACCTCCTGCCCCAGTCACCACAGCGCCCTCCAGTGGCACCTCCGCTGCTGCATCCTTCTTTGCCAGGTAAGACTCTGGGTTTGATGTCACATGACATCAGCGGACTGCGGTTTGTTACAATTCTGTGCTACACTTTTAAAAACAAAGGTTCTTTTTTGGCATCTAAGGTTCCATAAGTCACCTACTTTTCACATCCATAGAACCTTTCCATGTCACAAAAGGTTCTTTATAGTGGAAAAACGTTTTTAAAATGTTCTTCACACTAAGAAAAAATGGTTCTTTTAAGAATGTTTCACAGAAAGGTTCTTAAGGGAACCAAAAAGGATTCTTCGAAAACCTCCAGGAGTGTTGAATACAATCTGGACATTAGCACGGTCATGTGACCTACAGTGCTATGTTGCTGTTATGGCTTCATTGGATAGTAATGTGCCCATTGAATGCATACTTGAGAATCTCAGCTGAAGTAGTACGTCATATGGTTATTTTTGGTGTACTGTTTCATGCATACTGCATATTTGGCAACATAAGCTCAATAGAAAAATGTGCCTCTACCTACATGTTTTGCAAAACTACAAAAAACATACATAGAAATACAATTCACTGCAGTTTCCAGATTAAATGAACACTAGTGGCAGTAAAAAAAAAAAGTATTTTATTCCTTGTCACATAAATTCTGAGAACAGGGGCAGATTTTCAATAATAAAGACTTACTTTCGTGCATTTTTTGCACAATACTGTATTATGACCTCAAAATGCTTTTAGCATAGTGCATGATTTGTAAACTAATAGATTTTCGCATGTGCATCACATAAGCAGCTCCATATGTGTGGCTTTTTTTGACATAGTAAACTTGCTTGATAGCTCACCTGGTACAGCGTTGCACTTGTGATGTGTAGCACTCGGGTATGAATCCTATAAATCATGAGTCACGATAAGAGAATTCAAAGATTTGTTGAAGCTAAAATGACATGGTTTCTTCAGCAAATGCATTTTAGGTCATGTTTGCTGTTGTTAACACTATCTGATAGGTTTAGGGTAGGGTTTAGTTTAGGTGGTAAGTTATTTTCAAACTCAAAACCGTATTAAAATTTTAGTGCAAATTACTAGACATTTATACATTTTGTAATAAAATTTTGCCAGATTCATCTGTTTTCGGTAAAACTGAACCTCTTTATAGCACGACTTACTGGACATTTCACTTTGAAAAAGTCACGAAATTTCACGAAATATATATATTGATTTCGATATATTAATATATTGAAATATATTGAAATGATATTGAAAGAAATGCAATATCATTTTGTAGAAATGTTGCTACAGGTCCTTTTTTTCAATGAGCCTGGTATTTGAACATACTACTCATCCAATGTATAGTTTTTGACACAATATAATAAGGAAGTACACACACTGTAGTACTGTAGGAACACATATGAGATGAATTAGTTCAAATGAAAATAATCCATTGTAGCATGAATATTAATTTGCTCAGCTAAAAAGTATGACAGCTTTCTGTGACACTTGGTCATATAATGTTGTCCAATGAAAAAGCACAATACCAATCTCACCATGTCACCATATCCAACCAAACAATCTGATCACCAGTGAGATTTATTCTGGTAGCATGCTAGTATATATAATTTAAAAACACATGATTCAAGCAGACAAGAAATAGATTTAGAGATAGATTTATTGAATTTGATCTACTTTAATGAGTCCTTCCTACTATAAGAGAGCGCAGTGTTAAGAAATGACAGCTTCCCTTCAACAAGCTGCTCTTCTTTAGCATTTTGCACCATGGTCTGAATATCTGATGAGCTTGACGCACATCTGCAGCCAGCATAAAAACTCTGTCACTTCACAGTCATACGGGGGGTGTAGAGGGATTTGGGGTCAAACACTGAGAGTGTTTGCATGTCCTCTCGAGTTCGATCCTTCACTCACACTCATCGTCACAGCTGTCTGTTGTCAACAGGATATTTCTCACACATGCAAACATACTTGCACAAATGCACAGGCACTGGCAGGTGTTGTCATGTTAATGGTGTCATATGAGATGCTCTGATCACCGGGTGACTTTTTCCCATAGCTGTCTTTCTATAAAGAATCATCCGATCTAGTGTGAATCATTTGTTGCTATGATTGTGTGCATTGTCTTTTGAAACAGGCATTATGTCATACTGTACTATGGGAAAAACATCCTCTCCTCTGTCAAGTGATTCGTGCTCTGGTCTGTGTCGCCCGGTGGGGCTGTGGGAGGGGGCGAGGACATAGATCACGGGCTTTTATCAGAGCTGGAGTCGAGGAGGAGAGTGCTGGAAGATAGCGGGAGACGAATAGCTCGTGTGAAACCTCAAAACCTCTCGTTTTCGTGAGAGCTTCTAATAAATCAGGCCTTCTACAGCAGCTGGATTTTATGAATTTATTTGTATCAGAGGGCTACAGCTGTGGTGGCACTGTGATTTTATCTTCCTCTCCTCCATCTTATTATTTGTGCCCACTATGCCAAACGACAGGCCAAAAATGAAAGGAAGAAATCTCACCTTTCAGTTAAAGCTATTCAGGGTTTGTACAGGTTTTATGAAGGTCATTTGAAGACCTTTTTAAGACCAAGTAAAGAAAATTTAAGGACCGAATTGAAGGGAACACAATATAATGTGTCAGCATATTTTCTAAATGTAAATGTCTAGGGAGCAGAAAATGAGTTCCATCAGATCTCCATTAAATAATAATAGTTCAATGGGAAAACACATTTTCATACCTCACTGGCAGATATTTGTTCTTTTAAATATAAACTCACTTAATTTTGCTTAATTTCTCAGAAAACAAGACTTCAACTATCTTCGTATACTATACATGTATCTATACTATACATACATGTATCTTGATTTAAGGCTGTTTAGATATTTGTGTTAAAAAACAAGACAAACATACTGTGCCTTGCCAGCAAAAACATAGCCTGGTCTTTATGGACTACTTTGAAAAATATCTGAGCCTTAGAATTGTCATAGTAAGTTAGATTTTATTAAATGCTATTTAAGCATCTTCGTCTTCTTCTTCTGAGACAAAATTTGGACTGTATCTTTTCCTAGAGTTTTCATGCTAGAACCACCATTGGGTCAGACCCTCAGACTGGTCTGACTCGGGTTGCTATGTCTTTTCTAACTGATCCGACTCATGATTTTCATTAAACAGAATGACGAAAACTATGAAAAGACCCATAGACTTATGTTGAGGGGGTCAAAACCTTTGTACAATGAGACTTATAGAGTGTTGAAGCTGTCTATCACTAGCAAAGCTTAATGACTATCAAGGACAACATGCTATATCATACTAGCAGCATACTAAAACATGTTAGCAATATGCTAATCATGTTAGCAACATGCTAATCATGCCAATAACATGCTATCAACATGCTTATTATGTTAAAGACATGATAACAACATGCTAATCATGTTAAAGACATGATAACAACATGCTAATCATGCTAAAACATGCTAACAACACGCTAATTATGCTAAAACAACATGTAAATCATGTTAAACTATGTTAGAAATATGCTAAATCATGCTGAAACATTCTATGAAATGTCTAATCTGTCTATCTAAATTTTCAAACTTCAGTTTTTTTCCAACTGCTTCAAACTTTCAGGCTAGGTTTATCAAGCCAACTTCAAAGTTTGTTCACAAATTTTACTCATCTAGTTGGTGAATTGTCATTTGAGAAGGTCTGCTTTTATGAATAAATAAATAGCTGTCCGAGGGTGTGTTTCCCAAAAGCAAATTCTGATTGTAAGTTGTGTTGTAAAAAAACATAGTTCAACTATTCAAAGTTGTGTGGTTGGAACTACAGCTCTCGACCTGGTAGTTTCTGGTTAGTTTGGTGTGTACTTAAATAGTTAATGCTCTTGAGCAACATAAGCAGGCTAATATGCAGTAAAATCTATATCTTTCATTACATATACACATTTCATTCTACATGTTTAGTGTAAAGAGAATGAACGTTTTTCGAATAAGTTATTACTCCACCATATGTGCGACAACATTCAAATGATGGATGTGCAACAGTTAGGCTACCACAGTTTGGGAAACAGCTGATTAGCTAGTTAATTTCTCCAACAATGCCTCATACTATGGTGGGTAAGCAGTGAGTTACATAGTAGGCTTGTACATAGTAGACACTACAATTAAAAACTGAACGCGGCTGCTCAATGCAGCGTGGCGGTATTACCGGTGTTGTCACACGTCGGTTAACCGGTTGGAAAATTTCCTCACCGTTACAACCCTATTACATAGTTGTACAGGAAAAGCAGGACTTTACCAGTTGGACACCAAGTGAAGCACTGTGATGCAACTCTGAAGAAATACCCAGCTGAAATCCTTTCACACGCTTTGTCAGAGAACATACCCTCAGCGTGTTTCTAAACGGATACTTTAACATGGCTTTGAGGTATCACTAATCTTCCAGTCACAATCTCAAACCTCTGCGGTTTGATTCGTTGTCCTCAGGTGAGGGGAAGCAAAGCCCTTTTGGAAGTGAAGATATGTGACAGTAGTGCTAACCTCAGCTTCAACTTTAGTAGGAAACACGTTTCCCTTTGATATGTCATTTGGGTGATATTAGATACTAATCTAGCTCACTTTAAAATTCAGACATCACACTAGTTGATATGTTAGACTGAGAAAAGTGAGCTAGAGAGCTAGAAGGTGTGTGAGTGTGTACAGTAAAAACAAAGTTTACTTTCTTAAAATATGATTTATTGGTGCATGTTATTCCAAAGAAAAACTTTGTAATCTTTAATTAAAATGCATTGACTTGCTCTACACATGAAATGCCTCCTAACAAGTAATGGAAGTACATTTTTTGACATTTAGATTATATTTGTAGACGGAGAACAAGTGTCAGGTCTGTGATAGAATCCCTCCAGCTTCCTGATAGGCTGTTTAAATCACTTTAGTTGTCTGTTGATGATGGTGGCTGCTGATTGGCTGGTTGTTTTATCCAATTCGCTCACTGACAGGTGCCTGGGAACATGATTAATATCCTGCTCAAATGCTAATGTCATTCCATTTGTAGTTAATATTCATGAGAGGATTTTCTGTTAAAAAAAGTTTCAGTTTCTCCTCGTTTGTCCGTTGTTTTGTTTTACATCTGTCATAGCCGTCTATCAAATGTGTCGATGGGCAGAAAACATTTACAGTAGAAACCATTTGGCAGCGCCTCTGTTTCTGAGATGTAGTACTTGGTTTTACATGAGGGATAAACAAATATGATTAATGACATTTAGCCTCATCTGTAAAATGAATTGTTATACTGCTTGTGCGCTCTCAATCCCTGAGAGGGATCTTGCTGTAGATGTATTGCTCAAACACTGTAAATATTTCTT